TCGTAGAGTTTAACTGAAGCTCCGAGTTAAAGAGTCGTAGAGTTTTACTGAAGCTCTGAGTTAAAGAGTCGTAGAGTTTTACTGAAGCTCCGAGTTAAAGAGTCGTAGAGTTTTACTGAAGCTCTGAGTTAAAGAGTCGTAGAGTTTTACTGAAGCTCTGAGTTAAAGAGTCGTAGAGTTTAATGAAGCTCTGAGTTAAAGAGTCGTAGAGTTTACTGAAGCTCCGAGTTAAAGAGTCGTAGAGTTTTACTGAAGCTCCGAGTTAAAGAGTCGTAGAGTTTTACTGAAGCTCCGAGTTAAAGAGTCGTAGAGTTTTACTGAAGCTCCGAGTTAAAGAGTCGTAGAGTTTTACTGAAGCTCCGAGTTAAAGAGTCGTAGAGTTTTACTGAAGCTCTGAGTTAAAGAGTCGTAGAGTTTTACTGAAGCTCTGAGTTAAAGAGTCGTAGAGTTTTACTGAAGCTCCGAGTTAAAGAGTCGTAGAGTTTAATGAAGCTCTGAGTTAAAGAGCTGCGTTTTCAGATGTTTATTAAAAGTGAGCTCTGAGCTCGACTGTCTAATAAAAGCTGAACTGAGCTCCACAGTTTAGAAGCAGAATAACTGAAAGAGTCTCTCCACGTTTTCTGTTTTACTGAAGGAGTTCAGAAGGTCAGAATCTGCAGATCTGAGATCATAAACAGACGTTCAGGAGCTTTAATACTTTCATACACTCAGGCTGCTCCGTTAAAGAGCCGGTACCATGGAAAACTGACCTTCATCCACTTTTTTTTCCAATGAACAAGTTAGATATCATCTGTAAACATGCACTACACACTGTCCACACACTCCTCACAGTCCACACACTCCTCACAGTCCACACACTCCTTACAGTCCACACACTACACTGTCCACACACTCCTCACAGTCCACACACTACACTGTCCTCACACTCCTCACAGTCCACACACTCCTCACAGTCCACACACTCCTTACAGTCCACACACTACACTGTCCACACACTCCTCACAGTCCACACACTACACTGTCCACACACTCCTCACAGTCCACACACTCCTCACAGTCCACACACTCCTTACAGTCCACACACTACACTGTCCACACACTCCTCACAGTCCACACACTACACTGTCCTCACACTCCTCACAGTCCACACACTCCACACACTACACACAGTCCACACACTCCTCACAGTCCACACACTCCTCACACTACACACTGTCCACACACTCCACACTGTCCACACACTCCTCACAGTCCACACACTACACACAGTCCACACACTCCTCACAGTCCACACACTCCTCACACTACACACTGTCCACACACTCCACACAGTCCACACACTCCTCACAGTCCACACACTACACACTGTCCACACACTCCACACTGTCCACACACTCCTCACAGTCCACACACTACACACAGTCCACACACTCCTCACAGTCCACACACTCCTCACACTACACACTGTCCACACACTCCACACTGTCCACACACTCCTCACAGTCCACACACTCCTCACAGTCCACACACTCCACACACTCCTCACAGTCCACACACTCCTCACAGTCCACACACTCCACACACTCCTCACAGTCCACACACTACACACTGTCCACACACTCCTCACAGTCCACACACTCCACACACTCCTCACAGTCCACACACTCCTCACAGTCCACACACTCCTCACAGTACACACTGTCCACACACTCCTCACAGTCCACACACTGTCCACACACTCCACACAGTCCACACACTCCTCACACTACACACTGTCCACACACTCCACACACTCCTCACACTCCACACACTCCACACACTCCTCACCACAGTCCACACACTCCTCACTGTCCACACACTCCTCACAGTACACACTGTCCACACACTCCTCACAGTCCACACACTCCTCACACTACACACTGTCCACACACTCCGCACAGTCCACACACTCCTCACAGTCCACACACTACACACTGTCCACACACTCCACACTGTCCACACACTCCTCACAGTCCACACACTCCACACACTCCTCACAGTCCACACACTCCTCACAGTCCACACACTCCTCACACTACACACTGTCCACACACTCCACACACTCCTCACACTCCACACTGTCCACACACTCCACACACTCCTCACCACAGTCCACACACTCCTCACAGTCCACACACTCCTCACACTACACACTGTCCACACACTCCTCACAGTCCACACACTCCTCACATTACCCACACTCCTCACAGTCCACACACTCCTCACACTCCACATACTCCTCACAGTCCACACACCCCACACTCTCCACACACTCCACACTCTCCACATGCTCCACACAGTCCACACGCTCCACACACTCCACACGCTCCACACGCTCCACACACTCCACACGCTCCACACAGTCAACACGCTCCACACAGTCCACAAGTTCCACACGCTCCACACACTCCACACGCTCCACACAGTCCACACGCTCCACACAGTCCACAAGCTCCACACGCTCCACACAGTCCACATAGTCCACACGCTCCACACACTCCACACGGTCCACACGCTCCACACACTCCACACACTCCACACGCTCCACACACTCCACACAGTCCACACGCTCCACACACTCCACACAGTCCACACACTCCACACGCTCCACACAGCCCACACACTCCACATGATCCACACACTCCACACGCTCCACACACTCCACATGCTCCACACAGTCCACACACTCCACATGATCCACACACTCCACACGCTCCACACACTCCACATGCTCCACACGCTCCACACACTCCACACAGTCCACACGCTCCACACGCTCCACACACTCCACACAGTCCACACGCTCCACACACTCCACACAGTCCACACACTCCACACAGTCCACACACTCCACACGCTCCACACAGCCCACACAGTCCACACGCTCCACATGATCCACACACTCCACACGCTCCACACACTCCACATGCTCCACATGCTCCACATGATCCACACACTCCACACGCTCCACACAGTCCACACACTCCACACACTCCACATGCTCCACACAGCCCACACAGTCCACACGCTCCACACAGTCCACACACTCCACATGATCCACACACTCCACACGCTCCACACACTCCACATGCTCCACACGCTCCACACACTCCACATGATCCACACACTCCACACGCTCCACACACTCCACATGCTCCACACGCTCCACACACTCCACATGATCCACACACTCCACACACTCCACACGCTCCACACACTCCACATGATCCACACGCTCCACACAGTCCACACACTCCACATGATCCACACACTCCACACGCTCCACATGCTCCACACGCTCCACACACTCCACATGATCCACACACTCCACACGCTCCACACACTCCACATGATCCACACGCTCCACACGCTCCACACACTCCACATGATCCACACACTCCACACGCTCCACACGCTCCACATGCTCCACACGCTCCACACCCTCCACACACTCCACATGCTCCATACACTCCACATGCTCCACACGCTCCACACACTCCACACGCTCCACACACTCCACACGCTCCACACACTCCACATGCTCCACACACTCCACATGATCCACACGCTCCACACGCTCCACACACTCCACACGCTCCACACGCTCCACATGCTCCACACGCTCCACACGCTCCACACACTCCACACGCTCCACACACTCCACATGATCCACACACTCCACATGCTCCACACGCTCCACACACTCCACACACTCCACACAGTCCATATACAGAACCTAAATAGCACAAACAGCCATTTCTTTTTGTGATGTCACAACAGTCGACTCGTTTACAGACTGTTGTATGAATGAATTTGTGCAAATTCCCTGTTTTAGTGTAAATAAGTTTTAGGTCCCCTACAGAGACACACGTCTGCATATTTAATGCACAGTTACTGTTTATTTACTGAACTTAACACATTTGGAAACAGAATGTGGCCTGTGCACACGGTTTGGTGTATTTCATATTTTTATGAGGTTTTATTTTTCCCAAAGTGTGAAGCTGAGTAAATAAACACTTACTGTGTATTAAAATGTGTAGAGCTGTGTCTCTATTAGACAGTGTGTAACTGAGTTTAACTAAAGTGTAAATCTACTCATTCAGCCTACTGCAGTTTAGCCCCGCCTACTTACACTGACATTATAAGGAGTGTTTCAGCCTGGGTTACAGGCCAGCCAATCAGAACAGATCTCATTTACATATACAAGTCTTAAAGACACATAACAGAAACAGTTGTTTATAAATGTGAGGGATAAAGAGAGGCTTAAAATGATCATGTAGAAATGAATTATGACTGTTTTTGGTTCATAAAGCCACATGGATGTTATAAATGGAGCTCAGAGGGAGGAAAAATTAAATGAAAGGAAAATGTTGGATATTATGTTCATTAATATAAACGTCTGAATGTACTGCGGCAGTTCTGCAGTGATGGTTTCTGGAAGTGCCAGCAGTGAGCCAGAAGGGGGCGACAAATCACAGTTAAACATCTTTACTGAGGATCAGGGGTGCTCAGTCCCTCAGCCAGAGTTTAGCTCCGCCCCTAGTCTAACACACCTGATCTAACACACCTGATCCAGGGGACGAAGACCCTCTGGAGCTTCTGATTAACAGAGGCAGGTGAGCTGGAGCTCAGATCTGCAGGGAGGGAGATCTTCAGGCCAGGACTGAGCAACACTGACCGAGAACAACGTTCACCATTAAATACTTAAATACACAGAAATTACTACAAAATAATGACAAACGAGCTCTGATCTGATCTGATCTGATCTGATCTGATCTGTAGACGGTTAGTGTGACTGAATGAACCAGCAGTGATGAAGACAAACTGACGTCAGTGTTTCCAGTCCTGCTCCTTTACCCACTAACACTGCTCCTCTGCTCTAATACACCACACTGTAACTCAGGAGTGCTTACTAAAGGGAAATTCCACCCATTTTTCAGAATGGCAGAGTCAGTTCACAGTGGAGGTGACAGGCAAGTTTATTTATGTAACACCTTTAATACACAGCAGTCTTTTAAAGAGCTTTACAGATGAGAAAATACAAAGATAATTCAGATTATAATTGAACAAGTAACAAAGTAAAGGAGAATAGATAGAATAGAAATTAGAGTGTTAGAGGACAGAAGTGCAGTGGAGCTAACAGTGTTTAAACTGAGCTAAAAGCTCTAACAGGATCGTTTTCAGGCTGGTTTAAAGTGTCCAGTGTCGGCTCTTCTAATGCTCTCTGTCCACTGGGTCCATTTAAGAGCATCACAGTATCTAAACGCTGCTTCTCCATGTTTGGTCTTTAATAGAGGACAGGAAGAACCAGACGATAAGACAGCATCACTAAAAGCTCCTCCAACTATGTTATTACATTACATTCTGAGGATGTTTTGGTCTAAAATGTATTTTAAACATCAGTAATTTCCTCTACAGTTTCATCAAACCAGCCTGAATGACTCCGTTTACATCTCGAACACTCAATCATGCAGGAATTTAGAAAAGTTGGTGGATTTCCCCTTCAATTGGCTGAAGGGTTGGAATGTTTAGGTGGGAAGCACTAGAATGTGCAGAACCGAGGTTCTCCAGGAGCAGAACTGCTGAGATCATTACGTCCACACAGTGAGAGAGTTTAACTGGTGGCCCGGCTGAGATAAAGTGGACGCGTTTGTGTCTCTTTACAGGAGATGAAGATCTGAACTGTGGATCTAAGACAGTGTAACAAAACTTTATTTTCATTTTGTTCACTTTGACATTTTTATACACACAATGCAAAAACATTTTCAAACAATATAAAAGAAAAATATACAGTTTTGATCTGAGACAAAATTCAGACACTTTAGTTTTTGTTATTTCATAAACTTCCAGTTCAGTGATGTATTTTGACTTTGTACTTTAAATATGAACAAAACTGTGTATATGAGCCTAAAGAAAGGTATGAATAAAGAACTCTGTATTATTATTATTAGTATTATTATTATTATTATGTGTGTAAATATGAAGTGCATATCTGAACAAATTTAAAAAAGAATATTAAGTGTCTGAAATACTGATTTCTCCTGACTGTAAGTGCTGCTGGTCAGTTTTCCTGATGAGTCTGAAATCACAGAAGGTTATTGATCTGCTGGCAGATCTGAAATGATGACCACATTATGAATGTCCAGTACAGCATAAATGTAACTGGCCTCACTGTAAGAGGAACTGTACAGGAGGACAGACTCAGTCCAAGTTTCTGTCCAAACAAATCAAGCAGAGTCCAGTAACGGAAGGAGACGATGCGCCGGGCTCTGCTAGCTGAGCAGGATCTCCGTCAGGAGCTCGTGAAGGTCAGTCCGGCCGATGACGGGCCTGAAGAACAGTTCGGTGATGAAGCTCTGAGCCACCGTGTGCAGAGCCGAGGCCGTGAGGAGGATCAGGGAGAACCGGCCCGGGTCGTCAGGGTGAAGAGTGTGGACGAGTTCCTGCAGCGCCCACTGAGCTTCCTGCTGAAGACCTTCGATCATCTCACAGCTCAGCAGACTGCACACATCTGGAAGAGTTTACAGCACGTTCACTGTACATTCACTACATTCACTACACATTCACTATACATTCACCATACATTCACTATACATTCACCATACATCACTATACATTCACTATACATTCACCATACATTCACTATACATTCACCATACATCACTATACATTCACTATACATTCACTATACATTCACCATACATTCACTATACATTCACCATACATTCACTATTCATTCACTATACATTCACCATACATTCACTATTCGTTCACTATACATTCACCACAAAGCACTATACATCCACCATACATTCACTATACATTCACCATACATTCACTATACATTCACCATACATCACTATACATTCACCATACATTCACTTTACATTCACCATACATCACAATACATTCACTATTCATTCACTACACATTCACCATTCATTCACTATACATTCACCATACATTCACTATTCATTCACTATACATTCACCATACATTCACTATACATTCACCATACATTCACCATACATTCACCATACATCACTATACATTCACTATACATTCACCATACATTCACTATTCATTCACTATACATTCACTATACATTCACCATACATTCACTATTCATTTACTACACATTCACCATAAAGCACTGTACATTCACCATACATTCACTATTCATTCACTATACATTCACTATACATTCACCATACATTCACTATACATTCACTACATTCACTACACATTCACCATATATCATTATACATTCACCATACATTCACCATACATTCACTATTCATTCACTATACATTCACCATACATAACTATACATTCACCATACATTCACTATATATTCACCATACATTCACCATACATCACTATACATTCACCATACATTCACTATTCATTCACTATACATTCACTATACAGTCACCATACATTCACTATTCATTCACTATACATTCAGTACATTCACTACACATTCACCATATATGACTATACATTCACCATACATTCACTATACATTCACTATACATTCACTATACATCACTATACATTCACCATATATTTACTATACGTTCACTACACAGCTGCACACACAGTCTGATTTATTCACAGACGATACTGAATATTTCATAATTACTGAATAATTCAGAATAGATATTTAAATAACTCATAGTAGTTATAGTGTAATATTCTTTATGATTAATAACTGAATTATAAGCCTTCGATTCAAGATAAAAGTTATTTTAATTACTCAATTCACCTTAATTACATGAATAAAAATTATAGATTCAAATTCGATTTCACAGTGAGGATTTGAGAGTCTTTGGTCTGTTGTTGTTTATTTAGGTCATTTTATGGCCTGATCTCTAATTACTTGATGAGTGTAATCAATAGATTAGCTAGTCATTATAATAATCGGCGCATTATTAGATCACTAATTTGATCTGTAGCGTGTCGAGGGTGTCAGGATGTGTCAGAAGGTCACCTGGGTTGAAGAGCACTGTGCCCTTCAGGTAAGCGTACTCTTTCGGCGAGAGGTCGAGACTCCAGAACTTGTTCAAGCAGGACTTCAGGTTGTGGACGGCAGCGAGGGTCGGCGGAGAGTCGGCAGCTCCTCCACTGTCCCTGTTGTGGTCGTTGAGCAGGATCTTTCGCAGGATGCTGCCCGCAGGTACGTCCGTCACCTCGAACGGCGTGCGCTCCTGCGCCAGGCCCAGGACGAAGAGCGGCGCCCAGCAGCTCCGGAGCAGAGACAGCTGGTCTCTGCAGGGCAGCTGCTGGAAGGACGGAAGGCTCTTCATGAAGTGGACGGTTTTGAGCAGGACTGCGGACGCCACCGGGCAGGTGACCTCTGGGCTCGTCAGGCAGACTAGCTTCTGCTGCTCGCAGTGACACCTGTGTGCATCGGAGTAACTCCAGTGGTCATCTCCTGGAGCGCGGCCATCCTTACGGTTGAGGATGTTGAAGAGGATGGCGTGCGGACGGTGCTGTCTGAGGTCAGAGCAGAAGCAGCTCCTCCTGAGTTCCTTGGGCGAGAACATGGTTTAACAGGCGCTGTGACAAACCGTAAACCTCAACTTTCAGAAGACAAAGTCTTTTTTATACTGCCGGCCTCCGAGCATGACGAATCGTCAGCCTTGACCTTTCTGACCGCCGGGAGCGGTCACAGACATGAATCAAATCAAATCAAATCAGATTTATTGTCACATCACAAGAGTACAGGGACACAGGTGAGTGAAAAACTTGAGTGCGAGTTCCACAAATTATGCAGAGAACAGTATTTACACATAGATAAACAAAACTATAGATAGGATAGAAGAATAGATAAAACCAATTAACTAAAATATATACATATAATCTTACACAATAACTTAAAAATAATAATATTGCACCGAGACATATAATATTGCACTGGGAATGTAGAGTGAGTGTAATCAACTATATACTATATATAGTAATGGATATTACAATGCTATGTAGATGTGCAAGTAATCACACTAGGTGTGGAGGTAGAAGATGGTACAGTAGGTGGCAGAGTATTTAGTAAAGTGCAAGGTACAGGAAGTTAAGTGGAAGCGCAGGGGGAGAGTATTGTCTTTGGATAGGTATTCAAAGTCCAGCTATGCAAGTAAAGTGCGGGAGTACAGTGGGTGCACGTACGTGTAATGGGAAGGGTTGGGCTGGGCAGAGCAGTGATTACTGGCTGTTCAATAGCCTGGTTGCATGGGGGAAGAAGCTGTCTTTGATGAGCAAAACAACATGACCCTGGACCGCGGAGTGGGCTAACGTCTCCCCCACGTGGAGGCCATAAGGCTCGTTCAGCCTGAGCCTCAGTGCTGCTCACCCAGTGAGAGAGAGAGAGAGAGAGAGAGAGAGAGAGAAAGAGAGAGAGTGAGAGAGAGAGAGAGGGGGGGGGAGAGAGAGAGAGGGGGGGAGAGAGGGAGAGAGAGAGAGAGAGGGAGAGAGAGAGAGAGAGAGAGAGAGGGAGGGGGGAGGAGAGGTAAATGACACTTATCATGTTTACCAGTCATTAACTCTACCTGTACCAGCCGCCAAGGACTGACACACAGCGGGTTTATGAGCTTCGGGCTCTGAGCCAACATCCTCCACACCGCTGAAGAAGCCTGAGAGCTCCTTTCATATCTAATCACACCTGCTCAGAGGGGTTAGTGGCCTCATTTTGAGGGGTCACATCCACTGACACACATCACTGATCATGTTTAAGCATATAAGGGTTTAATCGCCTTCATTTTTTAGCATAAAATAAAGACAAAGCTGATGAGAAACAAACAGAAGAAAACTGAGACAAATATATTTATTCAGAGACTCGATCTGGAACTCAGTATCAGAATCAGAGTGACTTCAGCAGAAAATACTGGATCAGATATATTTCGTGGATCGCAGGAAAGAATGAATCAAGACGTTTTACCCAAATTCAGATGTGCAGAAGCATCACTGAAAATGCTGAAATTTTGCATTTCATTCTAATTTAATACAAAGTTTTTTTTATCACAATTTAATATCATCAGCATAACAAGAGTGAAAAGTAGAATCTTTGAAATTTAAATAACCTCACAGAATACTGACGTAAACATAACGCAAAACTCAAACGGCATGCTGCGGCTTTTTTAAAAACATTGAGTCACTTTGGCGGAAAAGAAAGATTCAGCTCTGTTATGTTGGTGGAGATCCTCCCATGAACTGCTGCTTCAGATCATTTCTATATGATTAAGGTCAGGACTTTGACTTGGTCATTCCTAAACATTAACTTTAGTCTTCTTTAACTGTTCTTTGGTAGAACGACTCGTGTGCTTAGGGTCATTGTCTTGGTGCATGACCCACATTCTCTTTGGTTTCAGCTCATGGTCAGATTCAGAATTCATCGTTCCATCAATGATAGTAAGCCGTCTGGGCCCAACTGGCCCAAACCATGATACTACCACCACCATGTTTCACAGATAGGACAAGGTTTTTTTATGCTGGAATGGTGTGTTTTCCTTTCTTCAAACATAAAACTTCTCATTTAAACCAAACAGATCTATTTTGGTCTCATCTGTCCACAAAACACCGTTCCAATAGCCGTCTGGCTTGTCTAAGTGATCTTCAGCAAACTGCAGACGGGCAGCAGTGTTCTTTTTGGAGAGCAGCGTTTTTCTCCATGCACACCACTGTTGTTCAGTGTTCTCCTGATGGTGGACTAATGAACATTAGCATTAGCTACTGTGAGGCCTTTAGTTGCTTAGAAGTTACCCTGGGTTCCTTGGTGACCTCGCAGACTATTACACACCGTTGCTCTTGGAGTGATCTTTGTTGGTTGACCACTCCTGGGGGGCGTAACGAGGGTCCTGAATTTCCTCCATTTGTACACAGTCTGTCTGACTGTGATTGGTGGAGTCCAAACTCTTTAGAGATGGTTCTGTAACCTTTTCCAGCCTGATGAGCATCAGCAGCTCTTCTTCTGAGGTCCTCATAAATCTTCTTTGTTTGTGCTGTGATAAACTTCCACAAACATGCGTTATGAAGATCAGACTGTGATAAATCCCTGTTCTTTTAATTAAACAGGGTGGTCACTCACAGCTGATTGCCGTCCCATTGATTGAAAACACCCGACTGTAATTTCACCTTCAAATTATCTGCTAATCCTAAAGGGTCACATACTTTTGCCACTCACAGATCCGAAATATTGGATCATTTTCCTCAATAAATAAATGACTAAGTCTAATATTTTTGTATCTTTTGTTTAATTTGGTTCTCTTTATCTACTATTAGGACTTGTGTGAAAATCTGATGAAGTTTTAGGTCAAATTTCTGCAGAAATCTTGAAGATTCTAAAGGGTTCACAAACTTCCAAGCACCACTGTATAAAGATAGATAGACAGAGAGAGAGTGAGAGAGAGAAAGAGAGAGAGAGAGGGAGTGATAGATAAAAATAGACATGAATTGAGTAAAATATGAGAGAATAGGAATAGAAGTAAATCTATTACCATATTTGCATAAGCATATCAGACAGTTTGTTGTATTTATATGAGAGCTGGTGTTGCACTAAGTGGTCTAAGGTAGTTTAAAGCGCAGTGAGTGTAAAAAGAGCTCATAGTAACAGCTGTGTTTACACTGTTTACACTGTTTACAGTGTTTACAGTCTAAAGTGTGCAGTGAAAGTGTCACTGCAGTAGCATGTAATCATGTTGCATCTTTTAGATGATGTATTTCCATGTTATATTTATATAAAATGAATATATATCATCTAGAAGGTGAAGAATATCTAAGTCCTTCATTTGGTTGAGCATGTATTCTGTTTCATCATGGCTCCAAAAGTGCTGTTTTGGTCTCGCGGGTGCTGCGTTAACCGCTGCTCGCTGTTTCTGGGACAGAGCTCTGTTTTCACCCATGCTCAGACTGAGAGAAACGAAAGAAATCAGAGTGAGAGTTTACACTGAAAAACCCCATTACTGAGCTCAGATCCAGTTACTTTATCAGATTTACTAATCAAATTTATAGACCTTAATCTGATCTAAGAGATCAGAGTGTGTGTTTACATGACCACTTAATAATCAGATAACTGCAGAAATCTGATTATGATCGGATTATTAAGTGAATGTAAACACACTCACTGAGTAGCTAGCTGAGTATATAGCTATATATATATATATATATATATGTATATATATATATATATATATGTATATATATATATATTTAGATCCATTTTCTTCAGTAACCTTAGAACCATTTTTTTAAGACTGTAGACTCTTGAAAAAGAACGTAGACCATTTAAAAAGTGAAAATATCAGATATCAGTATCGTCTGATATTCAAGGTTTCAGTATTCAGTCGTAAAGGTCAGAGTGTTACTGATACAGACGCTGTGGGTTAAAGCGTGAGAGTTACAGAGAGTAACAGTGTCTGATAGAGCTGCAGACACTCGGACTGACTCAGACACACTGATCTGTCAGTCAGTGACTCACTGAATTTACTCTGATCACCGTTACACAGTGGAACGGTCAGTACAGCACTGAGTCACAACACTGCTATTAATAAATAAGATAAAAAGAAGGACTCGCTCTGATTTCACACTGTCACACTTCAGAAACACACCACACCATAACATGGTACACTTTCAGCAAGAAACAGGGTTCTATACAGAACCAAACAGCATTCTTTGATTTCTAACACCACCTGAACATTTTTTAATACTATACAGAACCATTTTTTGAAAAGGTTCCTTAAAAATAACAGGTTTTACATCATAGAGAAGAACTGTTTAACCAGGCAAAGAACCACTTATTTGCCAGTGGTGTTCAGGGTTCTATGTAGAATCATCACCTTTACTAAAAAACCCTTCAAGAACCTTTTTTTACACACTTAAAAAAGATGGCTCTTCAAGGCAAGGGTTCTTTTTAGAACCATGAGTTCTATATATTACCATTTACATGCTTAAATGGTTCTTTGTATGGAAAAGTGGTTCTTCTGATTGATTAAGAATGTGTTGTATATTGTTCTATATAGCACCAAAAAGGGTTCTGCAATTGTTCCGATTTCCAGTGTGTGACAGTAGAAGAACCCTTTTTGGTGCTTTATAGGACCATAGACAGCACATTCTCCATCAATCTGAGGTATTAAAGAACATTTTAAGCATGTAAATTGTTGTATATGCAGCTCGTGGTTCTAAACAGAGCCATCACTTTTACTAAAGAACCCTTGGAGAAGCTTCTTGAGGGTGTAATGTTTCTTAATCAGTGTGACTGTAAAATAGATATAAATGGATCAGTTTATGATCGTTAGCCTGGATTACTGTTGATCTGTTTACTTATTCTAATGAAATCCTGAAGCTGTTTATATCAGTGAGATCTAATTAAGGCGCAGTGTACAGTGCAGTATACAGTACAGTACAGTACACAGGGAGATATGGGGGCTAAACTGTGCACATGATGTGGAACCTAGAGAATGTTTATGGTGCTCCAGCAGTGAGAACTACCTTACAGCAGATTATCAGATAATCCAGCACAGCAGAGCGCTAATAAACTGAACAGCAGAACAGCTTCTGAATTTAGGTGAAAGGTCATGGTGTCGTTCCAATTCAACTTCGTACACAAACACAGTCGGCTCTCCGAATTCTAAACCTGCCACCACGAAGCAGAACGTAGAGTTTTAGACTTTACCTTTATTAATATTCTGTCACCGAGTCTGAAAGCTGTGTCGTCACCGTCACTGTCTGCTTTCAGATCAGCTCCTCCTGCAGGACTCGTTTTCATTTTATTACTTTCCATAAAAAACTGGATCTGATGGGGGCATTTACAATTTGGGCAACAGAATCTGAATTAAACACAACACTGAAGGTTAAATTCTGGTGCCCTGACTTTGTTAGTCAGTGCAGTTGATTAGTAATTATGCTGATGTCGACACATTAAAATACAATAAAATGTGTATGTCATATTTCTTAAAGAGCCCTTATCATGAAAACACACATTTTCCTCTGTGTTGTCTTTTTAATAAGATATATAAATAAAAAGAGTTTGGGACAATTTTACAGCTTTTGAGTACAAACAGTAAACATTAAAAACTACTATTAATAATAATAATTTATTTTTTAAACATTAGCCCATAGCTAATATTTTACCTACATATATGCACATATTTCAGTGTGTAGGCATATATGCGCATATACTGGTATATATTTAAGTATTCAAAAATGGCACAGATAAATATATTTAGCACATATATTTTAAAATATTACATGCATTACACATTATTTTAACATGAACAAATGTATGTACATAAACTAAATGGCCAAAAGTATGTGGACACCTGACCATCACACCTGTATGAGCTTGTTGGATGTCCTTTTCCAAATCCATAGGCATTAATATTAAAGTTGCCCCCCTTTGCAGCTCTAACAGCTTCCACTCTTCTCTTCCACTTCTACAAGCTGGGGCAGTTGTGGGCTGGAGGTTAGGGAACCAGCCTTGTGACTGCAAGGCTGCTGGTTCGATCCCCTGAGCCGACAGTACGTGACTGAAGTGCCCTTGAGCAAAGCACCTAACCCCCAACTGCTGTGGATAGGGCTGCCCACCACTCTGAGCAGGTGTGCTCACTGCTTCTTAGTGTGTGTTCACTAGTGCGTATGCAGATGGGATAAATGGGGAGGTGAAATTCCCTGTTGTGGTATTAATAAGGGTCACTCAATAATAACAATAATAATTTTGGAGAGAGTCTGTGGGAATTTTTGTCCATTCAGTCCAAAGAGCATTTGTGAGGACAGACATTGATGTCGGACGAGAGGGTCTGGATCACAATCTCCGTTCTAGTTCATCCCAAAGGTGTTCAGTGGGGTTGAGGTCAGGGCTCTGTTCAGGCCACTGAAGTTCCTCCACACCAAATTGGTCAGTCCATGTCTTTATGGAGCTGCTTTGAGCTCAGGGGCTCAGTCATGCTGGAACAGGAAAGGCTCTTCCCCAAACTGCTGACACAAAGCTGGAAGCAGATAACTGTGTAAAATGTCTTTGTGCTGCAGCATCAACATCACCCTTCACTGGAACTGAGGGGCCCAAACCCTGAAAAACAGCCCCAGCCCATCATCCCTCCTCCACCCAACCTTACCTTTGGCACTGTGCATTCTGGTAGGTAACGTTCTCCTGGCATCCACCAAACCCAGATCCATCATCAGACTGACACATAGTGAAGCTGATTCATCACTCTAGAGAACACGGTTCCACTGCTCCAGAGTCCAGTGGCGCCCTGCTGACTGTTTACCACTGCTAGTCCACCCTCGGACCACCCAGATTATTGTCCTGCACACAAGGTCTAGTTTTTCATGCAAACAGAGTACAATTTGAATGAAGACAAATAGTACAAACAACTGAAAAAAAGAATGACTAGGCCTAATATAAAATGATTGTTTGATTGGTTACAGCTGCACTGTAAAAAATGGCTCATCAGATCTACCTAACATATTCCTTCATGTAGTAACAAGTAAATTAACTAGTTTTGTTCAACCTAAATAAATACATTGAATCAATGATTCTTTGAGTCAAAGTAAATTTTTGAGTTATAAAACTAGTATATAGTATATTTGTAATAAAACCAGCTCAATTGCTTTTTACCACATTAAGTAATTTTTTAAGTAGAACTGATGAGCCATTTTTACGGTGTGTATAATCCACTGTATTTATGATATTGCTGTTGAATTTCTTTAGCAGACTAATTTACAAAGGATAACGAAAGAAAGAAATGAAGGAAAAATAAGTAAATTGGACTGTGAATGGAAAATGAGTGATGAAAAGTGGCATTTTGTCTAACACTGCGTTTAACCGCCAGTGGGCTTCCCAGAAAATGCTTAGCAAAAAGGAAGCGGGCTGCCAGCTTTGCTGTCAGTGGGCCAACAGTGACCTGCTATTACTAGTATTGGCTGGGTAACAGCACTTACAGTTGGCTGGGGCAGATCTAACAGGACAGAAATTTCACAAACTGGCGTGTGGTGAAGGTGGCAACCTACAACAGTGCTAAGTTTAAAGTCATAGAGCTCTTCAGTGCTGCTAGTGTTTGTCTATGATGATTATGTGTACATGATTTTATACACCTGTTAGCAGTGGGTGTGGCTGAAACACCTGAACTCGATAATAAGGAGGAGTTTTGGACATATGTGCTGCGTCCAAAACCACATACTGTCATAATAAACGGTGTGAAATTAGTATGCCACCATTAGAAGTCCATTCATTTGTTTAGTACAGTATGTAGTATTGTAGTATGCAGGTTTAGACGCAGATATAGTGTTTATTTGTCTTCCATATGAGAGTTTAAATGGATTTTTTTAATTCAGTAACATCTTTTAATGCATTTGAAGACCGGAATCACAGATTATGAATTATGAATATGAATTCATAATTCATATTCCAGGCATTTCTAGAGAGTGCTCTCAGCGGGCCTCCTGCTTCTGTGGGGAAAACGACAGTAATGACGTGTTTAAAAATCTCAACATATGATTGGCTCTCCGTCCTGTCCGTCAACTGCAGTCTCGTCTGATTGGTTAGTTTCGGGGCGGTTCTTGTAGCCAGGAACTGGCGGCGCTGCAGCCCTGAGAGCGTGACTCCGCAGTAGCGGCTCGGTTCGGTTCGCTGTTTGTTGTTTTTACCTCTTAATCAGTGAACAGGTAGTTAATATGGGCGATGATGAAGAGAGGTATGACGGGATGCTGCTCGTTATGGCGCAGCAGCACGAAGGAGGAGTTCAGGAGGTAAAATTCGGAGCAGAAACAGCAGCAATTAGCTAACAGGCTAACAGAGGCTAACCGAGCAGATTTATTGGTTTTTGATTGACAGTAGCGCTCAGAGAAGAAGATCGGCTTGAGGTTCATCTTTATTTTAGTTAGCAGGTCCAGTTTTGCGTTCGGATTAACGTAAATTCTCCATGTAACAGCAGTATTGGAATTTTCCGTTCCACCTTAAATGGTGCAGTAGTTACTGTAACTGTTGGACCATTTAAGGTGGAACGGAAAATTCCAACAAGGAGCCAACTAAATCCTCACAAAACATCCAGACACATCACTGTTTTCTGTGTTTTTCAGTTGGTTAACACCTTCTTCAGCTTCCTCAGACGAAAGACTGACTTTTTTACTGGAGGTGAACCCGGAGCTCCAGAGAAGGTGAGCTGTGAGAGAATTCCCACCACCTTCCAGACCTTCCAGACCTCCCAGGCCTCTTTTTTCCTTAGTATATGTGTGTGTTGACATTTGGTAGCATCTTTGTGACTGTGTCTGTTATTCCTCCTCCTCCTCCGTCTCAGCTGGTGAAGGAGGCGTTTGCCCATCACAGTCAGCTGGCCCTCAAAGTCCAGAAGGAGAAGCAGTCCAGGCAGGAGAAGGAGAAGAAGGAGAAAGCGGAACGAGCCGCTAAGCTGAAGGCTGAAGAGGAGAGGAAGAGGAAGGAGGCGGAGAACGAGCCCAGGATTAAAGAGCTCACAGACGAGGAGGCGGACAGGCTGCAGACGGAGATAGACCAGGTGGAAAATGCAAATTTATAATTGCTTTAAAAATGTATACACAGCGGACAAACGTTCAGATACGGACGATATTTCGCGCAGATGTTTGATGGTGTATTTATTATTAAGAATAAGTGACCCATATTAGTCCCACAGTGGAGAAATTTCACCTCTGCATTTAACCCATCCGTGCAGTGAAACACCACACACACACTAGTGAACACAAGCACTAGGGGGCAGTGAGCACACTTGCCCAGAGCGGTGGGCAGCCCTATCCACGGTGCCCGGGAAGCAGTTGGGGGTTGGGTGTCTTGCTCAAGGGCACTTCAGTCACGTACTGTCGGCTCAGGGGATCGAACTGGCGAGCTCCCGGTCACAGGGCTGGTTCCCTAACCTCCAGCCCACGATTTTTATCATTTTACTGCACATACAGTCGTGAATGTTATTTATCATTGACGTTGGAACCAAACTTTGAATCTCTGTTTTGGGATTTTACATTTTCTTTGCAGAACTTGAAAATGCCAGCTTGCTCTTGTTCTATCAGCTTCTATTCAAGATTAAGAAAGTTGTTTTGGGAGATTATTTTGAGAAAAGTTTAGGAGATTTGAGGTTTTGTTGCAACAGCGACAATATATCAGCAACGATATATCAGCAACGATATATCAGCAACAATATATCAGCAACAATATATCAACAACAATATATCAACAACAATATATCAGCGACAATATATCAACAACAATATATCAACAACAATATATCAGCAACGATATATCAGCAACAATATATCAGCAACAATATATCAACAACAATATATCAACAACAATATATCAGCGACAATATATCAACAACAATATATCAACAACAATATATCGCTGCTGTCGGAACAAAACCTCATATCTTCAAAATAACTTTACAGGATAAGGAAAAAACACACTTTGCTTGTAATGTAAGTCAACGGAACCAGAATTTTTCCAAGTCATTTTGGGCCGTTTCTTTTGGTCCATGCCTCATAAAATTTACATACAATGTAAAGAGTAACAGGTATTTTCAAATTATGTCAAAAACTGGAGATACGAGGTTTTGTTCCAACAGCAGCGATATATGTTATATACATGTTATATGTAATAATAATTAAGTTGGTTGAATTCCCAGTTCTTCAGGTTCTTTAGTGCAGAAAATGGTTCTGTATAGAACCATGAACGCGTTCTTTGCAGGGTTTTGCATGGTGAAATTGTTCTTTAGATTGATGGAAAATATGCAGTAGACATGTCTATATAGAAGCTATTTGAAAAGGGTTCTGTATAGCACCACAAAGGGTTCTGCCATTGTTACAAGCTTGATATCGCAACAATAGAAGAACACTTTTGAGTGTTATATAGAACCCTTTCCCTGAAAGGTTCTTTATAGAACAATGTATGGCATGTTCTCCATCAATCTGAAGGACCCTATCATGGTGTAAAGAACCCTTTACTCAAGCAACGGATTCTTTGAGTGTTCATGGTTCATTGTAGAACCCTTTTCTTTACTAAAGAACCCTTAAAGAATCTTTTTTTTAAGAGCATGATATTTAACAGTGCTTTTCTCGTCTATCTGTATGCCGAGATGTGCACATTTCGCCTGCACACTTCTTAAAGGAACATGAACCTCAATTTCCCAACATATTTAGATGTTTAACAGTAAATTAGCTCTCTAGTTCGGTCACTTTCTCGGCAGGGTGATTATCACCTTTCATACATGGTCATCAAGTTACTTGACATGATCATTGATGATATCTGATTACATTGCCCTGTCACCCAGGCAACATCACACAACAGTGAAACACATTCCTTAATAAAAATGGGTAAAAGTGCCAGTTATTCTGATTGATTTTCTGTTTGTTCTCTTCTGGACTGATTGTGTTCTCCTGCTTGACTGTTCTTCACTAATCTCTGCAGAGGAAAGTCGAGGAGAAGAAAGTGGAGCAGGCTGCTGCTGCAGAATCATCTGATAAGGCAGACAAGCAGGTGAGAGAATCAATTCACGCATGTTTAGATTGTTTACACATCAGGGGTCGTATTACAGAAACTTCCTCTCTTTTCGTCTTAAGATCTGACAGGTCAAGACAGGATTTTTCACTAATTCATATAACAGAAGCAAATCTGATCTTTATTTAGGAATTTTATCTTATCTTATAGCATCTTATCTCCAGTTAGGAAATTTAAAACTACTCGACAATCAGCTGTCATGTTTCCTAGTAACTGACCATAAACACACAGCTGAAATCAGAATAATGTTAAAATGTGAGTTAAGCTGCTGTTACTGATGTAAAAAAGGTCAAACAGAACTAAAGAGTGATAAACTGTATGTAGTGAATACTATGAGAGCGCCCCCTGCTGTTTATCAGAGCGCCCCTGCTGTTTATCAGAGCATTGCCGCTCCCCAGTTTCAGTCTCCATTTCCCAAAAGATGATGAACCACATGTTCATGTATAACGTGGACGTTTCTGCTGTGCTGTTCAGTCTGACTCAGACGGAGAGGAGGATGAGAAGGATAAGGGGAAGATGAAGCCAAACTCTGGAAATGGAGCAGATCTGACCGACTACAGATGGACACAAACCCTGTCGGAAGTGGACGTGAGTGTTTTTCTTTATTCAGACCTGAAATTTTGGTCCAAACACCAAAGAACATTCCGCCCGAATCCAACCCGACCCACTGCGACAGGGTTTGAATCTGAGCCTGACTGTAGATTCTGTCCGTGCAGTTGTTTTGAGATTAGTGTTTGGTCCTGATGTGAATAGTCCAATACTCCAACTCTAGCTTCCCACTTTGTTCACCATTAATGGCTTCATATTCATCACCTGTTGGGTCATTATTGCTTCTCTAGTCTTTTAAATGATATATCAACATTGTTAGGATGATTTGAGTCATAATGGAGGGTTCTAGGTCAGGGTTCTAGCTTTGATTTGGTTGTAAAGAAACATTTTGAAAGCAGTTCCATGCATATTTTTATTTGCTGTATGTAAGTAAAACTGCAGAAAACACAGAATTAATTAAGAAGGATATATTACACAACTGTCCTCGCTCCAGAGGTGGGCAGCGTGACGATATTTTATCATTATTGTAATAAATTATGTCAATATGCTTTTCTGAGCCTATCATGGACATCACTACTTAAAGAACAGTGACTAACTACATTTTTCATTACAGAGTTAAGCCTGTTTACCTGGATTTAGTGCAGTTTGGAAAACATTGAATAAAAATAATTATAGATGTAGGTTTATTATCGTTATTATAGTATTTCTGTATGTGGCACTGCAGGTTTTATCAGTTCCAACATACTGAATCTCAGGAAAACAAAATATTGTGAAGCGTGTCGTGCATCATGAAAATGTTTTGAAGTGTTGTGATGTAATATTTTTGCTGTATCACCCACTGAACAGCGACAGTATGTGTGATATTAAGGTAACAGCCTGACCTGCTTATCATTAGAGGGCTGTTCATCCGCGAGTTTCAGAGGCTTCAGTTCTGTTTCAAATTAAGACATAGCAGAACCTCAATTACCTCTTCATCTGAAGTAGAACACTTTGTTCTCAAGTTAGCAAACCTAAAGGAAGGAACAGGGTGGTTTTCTGGACCTGGCCTTAGCCCAACATGGGCACCAGAGCTCTTCTGTTTCCTTGAGCCTACGATAAATAAGACAGTTTACAATTAATTAATGCACTCCCCTAATTTTTTCCCAATTTAGTTGTCTCTAATTACGCCCACTAGTTCTGACTCCCCCAATCACACAATACCTCCAGCGCTGGGAGAATGAAGGCAAACACAGGCTTCCTCTGAGTTCTGTGAAGCTCCACCGCATCTTTTTAAACTGCCGCCAACTATTGTACAGCTGAACGCGCTCAGAGGAGACGCTCACTGCCAGATCTGTTACGTCAGCTAACAGACGCCTGTGCTGACTAGCATCGAGCTGAGTGATGGGGGGAGACGGGGGGCCATCCTGCCCACCCAGAGAATGAGGCCAAAATGAACTGTTCTTTAGTTATTCTTTGCTTTTTAGCAGCTCAAATGGGATGTCATGTTTTGATGTGCTGTCAAACTGCAGTGGAGACATTCTTGGGCATCTTGATGCTCCACATGAACACAGATGAAAACGCTGTTCATTAGAGAAAGTGTGAAATAGTTCTAAATGGCTGAGAAGCGTCCAAAAGTGCCCCTTTGGATAGTTGTCTTAGCCGAACTGTTTCATGTCACCCTCGTTTCTCATCAGTCAGATGAGCGACGTCTCCTGTGTGCTTAACGTTGTTCGCCGTTGTTTCCTCTGCAGCTCCTGGTGCCTTTTGATGTGAAGTTCCGGCTGAAGGGGAAAGACGTGGTGGTGGACATTCAGAGACGGTCTCTGAAGGTGGGCTTAAAGGGCCACCCGCCCGTGATTGACGCCCCGCTGTATAACGAGGTGAAGGTGGAGGAGAGCTCCTGGCTGATTGAGGATGGCAAAGTGGTGACGGTCCATCTGGAGAAGGTAGGAGGAGTGATCACTGTACGAAGGAGTGCAGAGGTTCTTCTCTTTGTAACGGCCCGTTTGGACCTCTCGAACTTCAGTTCTGTTTATTTGGGGAAATAACCAGTTTTAATTTATTTTTGTATCCAAACCAGATTAATAAAATGGAGTGGTGGAACAAGTTGGTGACCACAGACCCTGAAATCAACACCAAGAAGATCTGCCCGGAGAACTCGAAGGTGAGCAGTTGGCACCGCGCTGACCCACTGACATGATCTCAGTGTGATGGTCATCACTGCTGCCACCCTGAGCGCTGATACTGATACTAAACATCAGGCTGGACGTAAAATGTGATGTTTGATCAAACTGTCTGTCACCATGACGATATGAGAAATGATCATTTTTTTATTGCACATTTGCAGGTACAGAAATCTAACCAATCTTTCCTTAAAGCAAATAGCAGAATTTCAAATTACAAAATCATCATTCACTGTAAATTGTTGTTTTCTTTTCACTTAATTTTGTGTACATTTTGCACACATGAGTACAGTGAGGATAAAGGCGTTCTATTCTTTTCTCTCTCGGTTCTCCACTCCTTCGTCTGTGCTCTCTGCTCAGCTGTCTGATCTGGATGGTGAGACACGCAGCATGGTGGAGAAGATGATGTACGACCAGAGGCAGAAGTCCATGGGTCTGCCCACGTCTGAGGAGCAGAAGAAGCAGGACATCCTGAAGAAGTATGTGCCCTTAACCGCCATCAAGTTCGGCCATCCAGGCAGAGCTCTAAGCCAGTTCTCTACATGAGGCATAGATGCAAATATATTTGTTTAGAAATGTGAACTAATGGAAAAAATCTTCTCGTCTGTCTCTCAACATGCTGATTTCTGGTACCGCAGTCTGTTTTCACACATGCTCAGACTGAAAAATCTGAAAGAAATCAGAGTAAGAGTTTACAGCACAGAGAAATCAGATTACTGAGCTCAAATCCAGCCTCTTTATCAGATTTCTTAATCAGATTTCTAGACCTTATTCTGATCTAAGAAGTCTGTGTACTCATATATATGTTATACTTGAATATAACTGCAGAAATCCGATTATAATCGGATTATTGAGTCCATGTAAACTCAGTGAGTCACTTCGTCCTAAATCAAGTCTACAGATCTGCTCCACCTTATTGCAGAGCTGTAGACGTCTAAGCGCTGAGAGTTTTGGGGAGGTATTTTCAGAAAAGATTTGGGTGTTGATTTGGTGTTGGTTGCTTCTGTTAGCAACATTAGCCTCTTGGCTCCAGCGCTAAACTAAAGCAGCTAAATTTGTACAGTAAATGTGTCTCAGCTGACCGACCGTGTCTGCAGTAGATGGAGAATTCGGTCAGAGTGTTAATGCTGTGGTTCCGAGTGTTGGCAGGACTGTCCGGTGCCGGTGTGATTTGATGTCTCTGTAAAGGCAGTTTTGTCTCCTCAGGTTCTTTTTAAACGTACAGATCTTTGATTGTGTGCAGATGACAGTGAGGCTGTTTAGTGCTTTATGGTCCACAGTGGCTGCTGTACGCTGGTGCTGATTGTGCTGTAAGTTCTCAGGAACGTTCTCAGGGTTTTACAGGCTTGGTGCCGGATATTGCCTCTATAGAACAGCATATGAAATTTTGACAGGCTAAATAAAAGTGTGGTGGAGGCGTCCTGTTAACTCCTCCTGTTGCCAGTCAAGGACAGGTTGGGCTCTTTTAATAAGAGTCATAAACTCATTGTGTAAGTTCTGTGTCGGCCTGCGAGCTCCTGGAGTTACTGCAGCTCCGACTTTGCTGCTCTCAGGAACCTTCGTTACCAACACATAGAGGCGCGCGATACGTCATCAGACCGTATATTATAATTATACAGCCTGTTTCAAAAAAGTTGGGACGATCTGCAAAATGTAAATAAAAACAGAATGAAATGATGTGCAAATCATTTAAACCCCACTTTCCACAGCATCCTAACGGGATTGTATATTAGAATAATGTTATTGCTCTGATATTTAAATCACAGCTGATAATTATATTCAGTAGCTCTGTGCTCCAGTTTTGGTCCTGTTTTATTAACCTTCTCAGCAGGAATGCCAGAATAAGAGTTCTCTGCAAACACTCTTAAACATTGAGTACAGTAATTATGTAAATGTTTACAGTGTGGGTGGGAGATATAGCTAAAATAATATATACTCTGAGGCACAACATGATATGCATCGTGATATTTAATTTTCTGAAGTTTAATAACAGATTGAGTGTCAGTGCTGTAACAGGCGGCCCGGTTTCTCTGTGTGGATCTGCTGTTAAAGTGAATTTAGGTGAAATGTGAAGGGAAGCAGTCCGTCACGAGTGTCACTGACACCTGATAACAGAGAGAAAGAGAGAGAGAGACAGACACAGACAGACAGACAGAAAGAGACAGTAGTAAGGAGCAGCAGACTGACTCAGCTTATCAGTGCTCAGTTTATTAACCCTGCGCTGTTCCTCTGGAGGAGCGACAGTGCAGGTCAATATCGTTCACCTCTCAGCGCTCTGTGACGTAACCTGACCTGGAAAGTGAGCAGTGAGGACTTTGAGGTTCTTATTTAAATCCAGAGTCATTTCTCTGCAGTAGTTCGTCTGTCTGTCTGATAATTTATTCTCGTTGTCTTACAGAGAGACTCACAGCACAGGACGGAGTATTAATACCCGAACCCGCCGATTCAACCTCTAATCATGTCCGCCTGTGTTTAGCGTGATTCTTGCCGAATCCTGCTTGCAAAACCTGGCACCATGTTTGCCCACACCCACCCACTTCAACCCCACACCATGCCCACCCACACCCCCCTACTTTGGGCTGCCTGTGTTTGCTGTAATCAGCTCCACTGATGTAGGACGAGTCCGTGCAAACCTCGTGATACAGTGGAGCCTCTAGACCCATCACACCTCCACACACCCAGCAGCACAAATACACGCTTCAGTATTGCGAAATGAAAGTAAATATTTTGTGTATTTTAGGCTCATCAAAGCCACGTAAACTTGCGCATGGCATCGCACAGCGAGTGGCACATCATGTGACGTCACTGTTGACAGACAAGCTGGCAGCAACACAGTCAACGAAAAACAGTGCAGCGTAGCATTCGTCACTTTGTGAAGAAATGGAAAAATTGTCAATCATTTTTCTAATCCGATTCATTAATGTGTTAGTGTGTGTTGCGCTGGTCTGAGTGGATCAGACACAGCAGTGCTGCTGGAGTTTTTAAACACTGTGTCCACTCACTGTCCACTCTATTAGACATTCCTACCTTGTCAGTCCACCTTGTAGATGTAAGGTCAGAGACGATAGCTCATCTGCTGCTGCACAGTTTGTACTGGTCATCCTCTAGTCCTTCATCAGTGGTCACAAGACGCTGCCCACAGGACGCTGTTGGCTGGATATTTTTGGTTGGTGGACTATTCTCAGTCCAGCAGTGACACTGAGGTGTTTAAAAACTCCAGCAGCACTGCTGTGTCTGATCCACTCAGACCAGCACAACACACTAACACACCACCACGTCAGTGTTACTGCAGTGCTGAGAATGATCCACCACCAAAATAGTGAAGCTGATAAAGTGGACACTGAGTGGAGATATGAGTGAAGGGATCAATTGGTGTATGTTTGCATCTGTATATATATTTTGTATAATGTGAGTGTGAGTGTAAGTGCTGCTGCTGTAACTCTCCTGTTTCCTAATACGGTGTATTCTGTGTCTGTGAGCTAATGTGAGTGTAATAATGTGTAATAATGACTGTGACTGTGTTTGTGTGGTTGAAGGTTTATGGAGCAGCACCCTGAGATGGACTTCTCTAAAGCCAAGTTCAGCTGAGAGCTGCTGACGTCCTTCCTGTGGAGAAGCTCCAACACGTTGAGCGCTTAAACTAAATCACAGCATTTCCATTATTTCTGCTCTGTAACAGTAAATGACTGTACACTGTCTCACGTTCCACATGTTCCTCTGTTCTATTTAAAACGTTTGCAATTTTTTTAAAATAAAGACGTTTAAAGGCAAGTTTATTATTATTTATCATTTCTTGTGAAAATACAGGTTAGTCTGCTTTACAAAAGCAAAAGAAAAAATGAAGACAAAGTGCTGAAGAATGAAAAATGATACAAATAAAACTAAAGTGGCAAAAAGTGCAACAGCTTAAATAAACAAAATGGATCATCAAAAGGAAGAACAGAATACATAAAAGAAAAACGCTCTGTTCCACAGTCAGACCTGTTCACAGTGGTGGTGATAGGAACCAGACGTCCACCTCTAAAAGCTCCCTCACAGAAAGTTCCTACATGAAATGGTTATGAATTCACTGCCTGATGACTGAGACACTGTTTTATGATAGTTTAGAGAACTTAAACTCCATTCATGGTGGAGGGATACATGCAGGGCGCTGTGAGGCAAAATAGCCCCAAAGAAAACTGATTATTTCAGATTTTCCACTATTTTCCATCATCAACATTCCATATAAACTCAGAAGACTCGTGTAGGTTCACTGGTGGTTCTGGATAGTAAATAAAATGTCTATATTTGTGTTGTAGTCATGGCGACCCCTGGTTCCTATCAGCACCACTGTAAAGACATCTGAACCATTTCACACCAAACCGCTCTGAATCTCTCTGATTACACCTCACACACTGAATTATGGAGACAGTTTGAAAAATCCGTGTAATTCCCCTCTAAGGATGAAGTGCAGTGTTAATAGAGTGAGAGTTCAGCCATGGACTCATGAAAAGAGAGATGTGTTTAATCTGGGTTTAAAATCTACGTTTGGAGCTCGTCTAAAACATTCTGAGAGTTTGTTCTGGTGTTGCAGCATCTCAGCTGAGCTCTGTTCAGTCTGGACTCTGAGCTTAAACCCACACTGAGCTGCTCTGAGCGGCTCCTGGTTCTGACTGAGCGTGTAAAGTCTCAGACAAACGGAAAGCTGTAACTGTTTTATTTGTCCTGTGTTTTTATCACCTGAGGATTTACGGGCTGCGGGAGGTGAAGGCCGGGAACAGGCCTCGCTCCTCTGGATCTCTGGGTCATTGCTCTCTCATGTTGTTTTTGGATGAGAGCAGGACCCAAAGGCTGCTAACCTCTCTCTTTTTTCTTTTTTCTTTTTTCAAATGGCCATTAAACGGTTACAGTGCTCCTACAGTGAGTGACAGTCATCAGAGTGCCCCCTGCTGTTGGCTAAAGGGTCTGTACCATACAGGTTACACTAATTTCCTTCACTTTGTTTTGAAAATTAGTTCTGTACACACTGATGAAGGTTGAAGAACTTGCTGTGCAGTACATTTATGAAAACCGAGCAGCAAAAAGCACTTATATATATATAAATTGGTCCCCCTCTGCAGCTCTAACAGCTTCCACTCTTCTGGGAATCTTTCTACAAGATGTTGGAGAGAGCATTTGTGAGGTCAGACACCGATGTTGGACGAGAGGGTCTGGCTCACAATCTCCGCTCTAGTTCATCCCAAAGGTGTGTGATGGGGTTGAGGTCAGGACTCTGTGAGGGTCAGTCAAGTTCTTCCACACCAAACTCACCCAGTCAGGCCTTTATGGAGCTGCTTTGTGCACTGGGGCTCAGTCATGCTGGAACAGGAAAGGTTCTTCACCAAACTGTCCCACAAAGTTGGAAGTGTACAATTGTCCAAAATGTCTTGGTGCTGCAGCATTAAGATTCTCCTTCACTGGAACTAAGGGTTCTAGACCAACCCCTGAAAAACAGCCCCATATCATCGTCCCTCCTCCACCAAACTCTACAGCTGCACAGTGCAGTCAGGCAGGTAATGTTCTCCTGGCATTCGCCAAACCCAGACTCGTCCATCAGACTGACAGATAGAGAAGCTGATTCGTCACTACACAGAACACGTTTCACTGCTTCAGAGTCCAGTGGTGGCGTGCTTTTTCAAATGTGTGTGTATATACATGCATGTCACCTACAGCAGTTCAGCCACTCACTTACGCTGAAGTTACAGGGAGCGTTTCAGCTGCATGAGTCATTTCACAGCCTCTCTCACAGTTCAACACACTGTTTCTGTTACACACTAGTGTTTACATTCTACAGCAGCTCTTAAAAAGGAGAAAATTCAGTTTTTTAGTTTTTTTAAATATATTTTTCATTCTTTTTATTTATTTATTTTGTATGCAGCCCTACAACCAGCAGATGGCGCAGATCTGCACTTGCCCTCCTCATGCAGTCCGAGCGGTGTTCTGTTCTAAAGCTGTTCTTTTCTGTTAGAAAGTGCTCAGATTACATCTCAGATAAACGCCACGTTTGAGAGGTTTTAAGTTAAAGTGTTCAGAGTTTGCGGTCAGTGGAGTCGTTTAGGGCTGGACTCTGTGAAGACAGACAGTTTCATCCATCATTAGGAGAGGAGGAACTTTTTTAAAAATTTTTGAGTAGATTTTGGTCTTAAACTCCATTCATGGTGGAGGGATACATGCAGGGTGCTGTGAGGCAAAATAGTCCCCAAAGAAAACTGATTATTTCAGATTTTCCATCATCAACATTCCATATAAACTCAGAAGACTCGTGTAGGTTCACTGGTGGTTCTGGATAGTAAATAAAATGTCTATATTTGTGTTGTAGTCATGGCAACCCCTGGTTCCTATCTGTTGTCGACAGATTATGGGGGAAAAAAAGGTGGAATTTCCCTTAAAGTCACTAAAAACAAAAAGATAATTTCAGTTCAGTGTGTGTCCACTAGAGGGAGCTGTTGGAGTGTGCTGTGTGTGGTTTAACCCTGTACAGTGTGGACGGGGTCAGAAAGGTCACCTGCTGCCTCACAGTTAGTGTACAGGCCACATTCTGACCCCTTAGATCTGTTTCTTTTCCAGGAAACCTTTAAACCTCCACAGTGAAGTTTACAGTGCTGAGTCACTTTCAGAGCAGAAGCTCGTTTTGATGTCTGACGTCACTCTTTATTCTCTTTTTATCTGGTTGTGTCTGATCCTCTGGAATCACTGCTGTTCTGAGACCCACCCCCTGAATGATGTTGGAGGGTTCATAAACATAAACAGTCTGTAGCTCAGTCCAGAAAAGGGCACCTGTAGGGTGGGTGTTTCTAATAAAGTGGCCGGTTAGCATTAGTATTTCCTGTGGTGTTTCTGTTATTTTGTCCACTCTGTAGCTGTTCTGGTCAGTGTGGATCTGAGCTGTGTGTTATTCTGCTTTTAGCTGCTGTTTAGATGTTTTGTTAAAGATCATAAATCTGGTTCTGCTGAGCTCTGAAAGTGATTTGCCAGGTTTGAAAGTGAAAAAGTGGAAAAGATACAGATTCAGGGTCAGAAACGCGGTTCTGCTTCACTGATCTGAGACCCGGTTTGGTGAAACTGTTTAATACGAACAGAACCAACAGACAGAAACTTTAATTCGGGGTCAGTTTGTGGTCAGTGTGTGAGTGATTGAGGCTGTGATGATGTAGGACCAATCAGACTCATGGTCTGTCCTGACTGACCGTGTTTATTATATCAATCAATCGGCCGTTATTTAAACTCGGGGTATGCTGAGGGAGACCCTCATTTACAGTGTGGATGAGCCAATACAGAAAACAGGGGTTGAATAAATTGGATTATAAAAACATATCAAATCATAAAAAATAATAGTAATCATAATATTAAAAAAAATAAAAATTCAATAAACCATTAAAACTGCAGTTTTTACAATATAATAACTTTCTGAATAACAGATCAAATAAGGGTAAAATAAAATAAATAATAATAAAAATATAGCACCTAAACATATAGCATATAAATAATAATAATAAAATAAATAAAAGACAATGAAATAAATAAATGAATGGAAGATATAAAACAATATCTTGGCAATAATAAGATAAATGTAATTTATTTAAGATGAATAAAAAGAATAATGAAAGTAAAGAGCTGAAACGTTAAAATCATATGAGAGCTGACTAAACTCTGACAGACAGTGTGAGGCTGAGTGACCGAGGTCAGAGGGTGAAAGTTTAAAATGCTCCTGTGACTCCGGCGAGCGACGCTGTAGAGTTTAAACTCTTAAAAGGTCTTAAAGTTGAACTTTTAAGGCCTTTAATCAAACGAAAGATTTGTTTTTTGTGAAGGTGCTTCAGTGCTGGGTGGAGAGTGAGCTGCTGTACATGTGACCCCTGACCCCTGACCCCTGACCCCCAACTCAGGCTGAATGCTGGCGCTGTAGATCAGAGCGGTCAGTCTGTAACAGGTCTGATGTTCGGGTCTCTCTGCACTGTAAAAGTATAATAAATTACATCACAGTACAGTACAGTATTCTCTTCTGATCATATGGTGTTCATCGTCAGTGCTTGTAGTCGCTGACCAACTGCATGATTCATTATAAAGAGAGTAAAATTCGTCCAGTTTAACTGGATTTAGAGCCAAATACTGAATGAAGATCACTGTGGTCAGTTTTTGATCTGTTCTAAACCTTAATAATGATTATTTTATTAAACCTAATGACTGAACATTTCATTTTGTCTCTACCAAAACAATCATAACTACCCAAACTGTACCAGATGTTTCAGTAGTGACTGTTTCAGTAGTGTCTGTTTCAGTAGTGACTGTTTCAGTAGTGCCTGTTTCAGTAGTGTCTGTTTCAGTAGTGACTGTTTCAGTAGTGTCTGTTTCAGTAGTGTCTGTGTCAGTAGTGACTGTTTCAGTAGTGTCTGTTTCAGTAGTGACTGTTTCAGTAGTGACTGTTTCAGTAGTGTCTGTGTCAGTAGTGTCTGTTTCAGTAGTGACTGTTTCAGTAGTGTCTGTTTCAGTAGTGACTGTTTCAGTGACAGTTTTAGCTCATTCTGAGCTCAGAAACTCAGCCAGTACAGACCAGCAAACACAGCTCTGAACAGCTGTTCACACAGAAAATCATCATATTTTACATTAAAACACTAAAAAGTGCTGAACTGCAGAAAATATGATGATTCTTAATGTTCCACACTGATTTTCAGACTTTGGGACACATTTACTTCAAAACAATGGGATCTAACTGCTCACCATGTGGCCATGAGGGACAGGGATGCAGCCTCACT